CTCAGTACTTCAAATCTGTTTCACCTTGGAAGAATACAGAACTACAACTATGTAATTTAAATTGGGACTCACCTGAGATATTTGGCACTTTCTGATCTTACATGAGATACGAGATTAAAAATTAAATTGTTGCCAGGCATGGTGGTACCACCTGTGATGCCAGCACTTGGGATGCTGAGGCAGGAGGATCATTGTGAGTTCGCAGCCAGTGTGAACTACATAGGGAGACCCTGTCTCATGGCCCCACACCCAAACTAAATTATTATGGCCAAAATAAATGCAGTTCCAACACAGGTAGACAGTGGCAAAAACAAACTTACAAGATTTTACTTTAAACACATAGCATCAATTATATTTCATCAATTTTTGCTACTTTTTTGGCTGTAGAATATATGAACAATCAAAACATATGCTAAGACTAGGGTTACAGCTCAATGGTAAAGCACATGCTTAGCATGTTGCAAGGCCCTGTGTTTAACACACACACACACACACACACACACACACACACACACACACACACACAACCTCCTTCCCAGAAAGGCAATATGGCTATTAGGATAATTGTCTGGAGTTATATGCTGACTACAGCTGACATGGAAGACTAGTTCATCAGACTACAAGCAAATGTGTATACTCTTCAAAACTATCAGGAGGCAGAAACAGACTGGTACAATGTGAAAGCATCACAGAAGCTATACTTGTAATGTTACAGTTACTTTCTAGCCTCAAAGGCCTTGCTATAGGGCTTGATATGTTCTAATTCATTTCCTACTTCTTCTTGATCACTAGACTTGCTTCCTTAGCTATTTAAATACTCTCTCAAGGCCCACCAGCTTCCCTGCATGCAGTCATGCATTTCATTCCTCTTTTCTCTCCAAGCACACTAACTTCTCTCTACTCATCAATTCACAAATACTCTTCATATTCTTTTTTGCTGATTTCTTACTAGATGCTTATTTTTTTTTTGCCCACGTGGGTACATGGATGATACTGGGATACATTTTGCGAAGTATACAGTAGTAAACTCCATGCATCTCTTCCTTGAGTACTGACTATTGGGAAATGTTTGATATTAAGTGAACATTATCAAATATTTTAAGATGTATCAAGTATAACAGCTCTGCCATTCTAATCTATTATTCTTATAATTCTCTCAATATCTTTTTCAGAGCAGAATATAGGAATAAAATTAAATACTGGAAGTGTGGGTAACTTCTCAAAAAGCAAGGCATCATTTTGGGTAATGGGCATCAAACTTGGGACCTAGTGCTTGCGAGTACCACTGAGCTAAATCCCGGGCCCAGCAAAGAATAATATCAGAGAGATACTTTTACACTATTCCACCAATCAAAGATCACAGAACCCCTCTGAGGATTTTCTGTCTGCTTCATAGCTACTGGGAACTTTTAATCTGTCACGTCTAACATTTCACACATATCTTTGACAAATGTGAAGAAAAACCTTTGCTATATTATAAATTAACTTTATCCTGCATAAACATTCTTTATAGACCACTCACTCACATCAGCTTTATCTGTTAGAAGATTAAGTCCTAAATGGTTAAACTCAGAATCTGGAGACCTAGAATACAGAAATAAATGACAGCATATCCTCTTTAAAACAATGTCTTTTCTAGCCTTAGCACAGTCAGAATGCATAGGAAGTACTGTATCTATGAAATTATCTTGGTATATGACCTACTACACAAAGTGGAACACTTACTGGTAAGGGCATGTCATTCATCCTTTAAGACTCCATTCAAGTGGCTCCTCTTTTTAGTTTTCCTTGGGTGTGCTAAATGGAGTCAACATTACTTCTTTGAACCTCTGCAGAAGTGATTGTTTATACTACACATGTGACTCTATGTACCATATTGTATCACGGATGAAAGATTTTTTTAACATGGAACCAGAAGAAGCTTTATATATCAAATATTTATATAACTGCTCTCATTTATGATTTTTTTTGGCAGAGGAATATAGAAAGAATTTAGGTAAACTAAGCAGACAATAAGGAGTTTTCTTTGGGATCGTCAATGTTACATAATACAAGAGAACTTGAGACCATAAGCTGGGTTGAAACTTACTTTCCCCAAACCTACTGGATAACCTTGCTTGTATTTGAAGTTCAGTAAAGAAATATGTATGCAGAGAATGGATGGGGAAGACAGAAGTTGGGGGTGTTGTGATGACAAGATTAGGCAACAGATTCTGCCCATGTGAAGTCCACCTGCTGTAAGACATTAAAACTTTTACTTTTATGTACTTGCACAGGGTATCTGAAGTTCAGTTTTAGGTAAGTGTTCCTGAAATGCAAGAAATACTCATATCAGAAGTAAAGCTGTCTGCACTGGTAACTGTTTAGTTACTATGTGTTTATAAAAGCTGGCTGTATTAGTTTTTAAGCCTGTGGGTGATCCAATTAAATATTACACAAAGTAATAAAATATTAGTAGGAAAAAGAGTTGTTCCTATGAAAATCAAGCTTAATGCTTTGGAAAACTCAATATAAATGTTGCCAAAAATGCTGCTCACAAATGTGAAAGACTAAGGGAAAAATCATAAAACTGTATTACACAATTATATTGCTTCACCAGAGATTGGTCTGCCTCTTTAAAGAAAGACTGGAAATCTATCTTTAAAGAAACCAAAACTATAGGTATAGTAGTTTATGAAAGAAAGAAGAACTCTAATGAATACACTCCTATTTAATAATACAATAGCTTCATATTACAAGAGTGGTGAATACATATAAAGTCTGTTTAAAAAGTTTAAGGCTCTATGTATCATTTTTTACACTGAGGTCTCTTCTATAGGGCCCAAACTACTGTTATCAATTACCAATCCAGTTTGCTTCAGATTAAAAGGTCTAAGTATCTTATTTAAGAAGATCTCATAGAAATATCACACAAACACATAAAATTTACATTATATGATTTTATGGATAATCTAATGTGAAAGCCAAAGATGGGAAAAAAAGGCAAAGAAAAATCTAAACAGCAACTGTTCAGTATTTTGCTGTTTTTCATAAGCTATGTTTATCAATCTAAAATACTTCCATTATTACAAGCTATACTAGAAAGCTACTATATATTACATTATTTTGTTAGTCACCACCAGAAAAACTAATCTTATGCCTCCAAAGCAGAATTAAAATAACAAATGTGTTTAAGAAAAAGGACCCATCATTTTTTTGTTCTTAAAATTCATTTATCAGGAAGAAATAATTACAACCAAATTTGAAAATTAGGTTTGGGGCCGGGGATTTAGCTCAGCGGTTCGGTGGCCTGCCTTGCAAGCGCAAAGACCCGAGTTCAATCCCTGGTACCAAAAAAAAAAAAAAAAAAAAAAATTAGGTTTATAAGGTCTTGAAAGACTAATGCCTAAGTATATAAAAGTTAAAAGGCAACAGGTATCAGAAGGTAAGTAAAAAAACTTTAAGTCAAATTGATCAAATGTTTAAATAAGAGTTTCTGAAGAGACTGTAAAATGCTTCTAAATTTTCTTATTTTTGTATATTTTCTAAAAACCTATGGTGAGGCAAAATAGTCACTTAATCTTTTAGGTTTCGTTACCACAGGCAGATAGAAATATGTTAAGTTTACCGCATAAACTTTATTTCAAATTACTTAGATTAAAATTACAAATAAGTATTTAAGATTGACATTTTGTGTCGTATTCTAATTACACTGTCTCATGATTATATTTTTAAATTCATCTGTTCTCTCATTTGCCTATTGCACAGATCTAGCACTGGTAAAAAATAGACTTTAAAAAACTGAAAATCTGTCCTAAAAATATTTCTGTCGCATTTTCTTATAAACATAGTATGATAAATATACTTTCCCTTTCTCTTATTGTTTCACTGATATAGTGCATAAGAATTTGGGATTTTTCTCAAATAAATATCATGTTAACTTAAAAACAAGTTTCTAAATTACTAAATTGCTTCAATTTTTCTTTATTAACTATAAAAAAACCTAAGATTCTGAAGAAATAACTATTCATATGAAATATCTTGATGGAAGAACTGTTAAATAATTTCTTAAAGACTAGACAGAAGCATGCTAGTAATTTTTATTTCTTTTTTCCTTCAAATATATTATTCACATTATGAGAAGAAAAAGAAAATAGGATGCAGAAGTTGGGGTCATAAGCTCCCATAAATGGCTGGAAAAACAGCTCTGACACATGAATATAAAGTGGGCAGGACTGGTTCTTGGCTTATTAGCACTTAATTTGTGAAATAAAACATTTCTCCTTCAGAATTACGATCTCAAAGAACTTCAAAATCTGTAAAGCAAAAAGCATATTTATTTTCAAATATTATGTTTATATGTTGGGAATTTTCTAACTAGATAAATGATTAAATTAGCAAAGCACTAATTTAGTAAAATTTGCTGGGTATGCTGAGCATAAAAGAACGGGAAGTTGCCATATAAATATATGTGCCCACATTTTATTGCTTGATCAAGACTAACTTGAAACAGAAACTCTGATTACTAGTGGAAGACAAAATGTCTTCATTCCTCTTAAAGTTGCAGATAAAATGAAAGCACTATATTCTTTTGTGTAATTATATAGAAGCTCCAGTAAAAGCTGTTTTTCTTTTTAACATTATGTACTTAAATACTATTAAAACAATATGTGATAAGCTACTTGAATCTGGTTCCTTTTTACTGGTTATGCCTTTAAAGACAATAGCAAATGAAACTTTTACTGCTTTTATGTCTGTCCTAAAGATAGTATTTTTTTTCCCCAGTGTCTTGGAATTCTAAGCTATTCTATAGCAAAATAAGATAAATACAGGAATAGGTATGTAAGTAATCTTAGAATCTAAATGAAGTTTAACTTATAAACGTACTTGATTTCAATTCAATCAACATTATGAAGAATACAATGGGCATCGGCATTCAGAAAGCAGACATGGGCATAAATTATTTCATGAATAATTCACAATGAAAGCATCTAACATTATATGCAAGAAGTACATTTTACCTGGAGTAGATGAGGCAATGCTTTTAATGTAAGGCAAAACCAAATTCCCAGCTTGCATGGAAGCAAATCATGCCACTGTGGTTTTATCGGCAATCTAAAAACATAGGGAAACCCAAACAACAAATCAGCAAAATATTCTAAGAAAGTTGGGAAGCAAAAACATTTTTTTAAAGTTCATGAATTCTTTTTTGAGTACCTAGTTCACCAATAATACAAAATACTCAATGAAATACTTATGACAGCTATCACAATCCAACTTATTTTATCATGAAATATAACAGTTACAACAAATACAATATATACTGCAAGTGACAATACAGGCTAGAATTTTTGGGAAGGAGGCTCCTAGTCAAGTTACAAAAATGAAGATGCAAAATGCCTCTTTCTAAGCCGGGCTTTTCATCGCTTCTACAAAATGAATTCTTAACCTTATGATTACTTCAGCTGCTAAAGACTAACCATCATCAGAGTGTTCCCAAGTGCTGACAACCAGATATGAAGACTGTAGCATAAACAAACCAATACATAAAAATCAATGTCATTTGCAGTTCACTGAAGCATTACTCACTGATGTCATCAGAATAGAAGTCAGGCAGAATAGTCTCTGGTCCTACATTGATCTGGTTCATGCCCTGCTGTGTGAACTATTTAAACCCTTTATTTCTTTCTATGAATCAATAGAAGAAATGGTGATATCTTTTTAAGTGTTCTGCATATTACTGCCTCTCTACATATTGCCGCTCCTGAGCTGAGAGATTCTTCTAATAATACTTTTTTTCTAAAGTTCAGTACAAAACCTCAAACTACAAGAAATCAAAAATTTATATCATTTAAATATATGTATAAATGTTTTACAAGGACAGAAAAATTCTAGGAATTTTACTTAAGATTGGATTTATCTTATAAACTATGGTAAAATAGTCTTTATATACTCTAGAAGTAATGAGAGCACATCTGAAATGGATATATACATAAAGATATTTTAAAAGCTTCAAATCATAAAATATTTTCATTTACCCCCACCTTTCATTTTTTTCTGAAGCGCCAAGTTTTGATACCTCCACACTCTTGCCTCCTGTCCTTTTTTTCTTTTCTCTCTTTTTTCTACTAAGCAGTTCATCCTTAATGTGGAAAGAATTATGGTTACAGGTTATCATTAAACATGTGCTCTTCAAATGTTATCAAGACTCTTCTGTGAAGGGTAAACACTTTAGAGGAACATTTATGCAAATGTATGTAGGGTCCAACATGATTAAGTAAAATCATCAATCTTTCACAATAACTGTTGCCATGGTATCCAAGCCTTAAACACACATGAAGTTCAGTGCTGTCAGTCATGTGCATCTCCATAGCAATCAAAGTTTTCTAAGCAGAGAAAGCATTCAACTTACTTTTTCTCATTCATGCAACTTTAATAATGTCACTTCAAAAGGAGTAAGTAAACAGATGCTAATTCATGAACACCGATAAATGTTTATCTTTAGTATACAAATAAAACTCCATACCAGAAAACTATATAGCAGCATATTAGATCAAGAAAAATATAATTTTTTAATGAACTGTTCTCTTGAAGTATAAAATATATCATTTCAAATCTGAACTAAAATGTTTTAAAAGCAAATACTCATTATATGAGGGTCAGTGACATAAAATTTCTAGAATGAGTCTTACATTAAATAATAATTATATTTAGAAAGTGATAATAAAGTATGGTTCTACTTTCTAATTTCCAGCTAAATAGTTGTACTTTCACAAAGTTTTATAACAAAATCTAATGCCATATTTTAAAAAGGTTATTTTCTTATTTGTTTTTTTTTTGAGTTAGAGATAAATCAAACACAACTGAATATAAAAAACTATTAGAATGAAGAGTATATGCAGAAATATAGAAATTTCATCACTTGAGAAATAAATGTCTTAAATTCCATACAAAATGAAGGAGGCTGATCAGGAGATTTATTGTCAATACTCACCAACTGTTTTTCCAGGTAGATTGACCACACCACAGCATAATGTCCCACTGTGAGAATAATGAACAAGAGTAATGCCAGCTCAGCATTGCTCATTTTTCTCACCCGCCTGTAGTAGAACACAGGCTGTCGCCAATCTGGAAGTCCATTGATCAGAATATCGTCATACCTATAGTAGCAAATACAACAATTTTTCATGGGGAGTTTAAAATAAAAAGCAAAAACAAAATAAATTTTACTAATACCTAAATTTTCAAAGAAGAAAGAGGAAATGATTTCTCCCAAAGGATAACATTTACACAGATTACCAGCACTGCACAGTATAGTAAATTCAAGCACTCACATAGCTCAGCTGCTGACCACCTTGGATTGGAGAAGGTGCATAGTGACGGTAAACATGGTGGATCCCAGATCTCCTGTGTTATAGCACCTCAAGGTGTGCCCCTGCCATACCTTACCCTGAAGACCCCACCTATGACCTACCTGTCTACTACTCTGCAGGGAAACTCCACTATGGAGTTAGAAACAAAAGGAAGGACCTTAACAAGAGAAAAAAATCAAGATCAGAGCTATTTGATACCATGAACCACACATTAGCTGAATCAAATTCAGGATTCAAATTTTAGTCAGTGCTTTTATTTCTACTCTCATAGTGGTTCAAGGTTGAAATACTTATATACATTATTTTTTCAAAGCTTTTTAATGAACTAAAAGCCTTTTAATTTTTGTATTGCTCACGTTCCTTTAGAATAAAAAATTCAAAACTAAAAAGGGATGAGGAAACGTCTAATGTTTATGCCAGATTTCTCAATAGCATTATTTCTAAATATTTAAGTAGTAATTTCCTCATTTTTGTCTTTTACTGGAAGGGAAAAACATTGATAAATAAAAGATTTAACTGTAAAGTATTTTAATCGTTTTTCTTGGTATCATCAAGCTAGGAAACACTTTAAAATAAAATTTCACCTGAATTTAAATGTACCTGTCAGTTGAGGGAAATATTTTTAAGGTTGAAAATAAGGAGCAACATTTATGATTGTTAAACTCAAAATGGTCACACACACTCTATGTTCAACACACACACAACCTGTTAATCTTAATTGAACACAACTCATTAAATATTCTAATCACACTATTTCTAGAATTAAATCTTCACTGAAAGGCCTAATTTGGTGCAACACATTGACCAAAATATTTTAATTAAAAATATTCTGAGTTAGTTGCAGGCTTAATTACAGGAATAGAAATAGGGCCTATATTGTCAGGCAGGTCAGTAGAACTCAGTAGTAGGTTTTTCTCAAGTAAATTGACCGATCTAGGAATAATAGCGCAGCTGCTAAACTGCCAGTCTTGACATGTAAATCAATTTAAATGCAACAACTGCAGTAGCTACTTTGATAGTTATTAAATTGATACCTTGGAGATATGCTAAAAAAAAAAAACTGAGGATTTATTACAGGCAACTTCTTTTTTCAGTACAAAAACACTGGTTATTAATGCAAAATATATTTTATTAGCAAATTTTAAAATGACTTTTAAATTAACTTAGGTTATTAATAACACTATTAGATCAGAATAACCAAAGCAAAAGACATTAAATAGTACTAAACTCTTAAAAGGCAAACTGTATGTGAGTCTACAAATTAAAATATGCCTATATAGCAACAACCATACTGTTACTTGAAGCTAAATAGTCTCAACATGTATAGCAATTCTTGAATAGTGACCTCAAGATATCATGCTATGACTTCATTATCATTTCTATCCTCAAAAACCTCTATTTCAATATACCTTTTAAAAACTAGCTATTATAAATTAGACATAGGTAAGTAAAAAGTTTTCAATTACTATAACATAAGATCACAATATTTGAATGAAATCCAATGACTGTTAAGTCTCAAATTTATTCTAAATCTTTATCTTATTTCAGATTTGTTGAGGGAAAAAGGATGAATAAAAAAAATCACTATTTTCAGCAAGTCTTTCTCATGATGCAACTTCATGTAAAAAGTATTGTTATTAATTTTTAAAACCTCAAAAAGTGAAGACAACTGCCATATAATATTACTAAGTATTAAATTTGTTCTGGATCTAAATGTATCAGAAGAAAGCACAGTAGAACTTAGTTAAGACTCTCTTATCAAATATTTTATCACCATCATTGCTGAAAATGCTAAATATCTGCAAATAGCTACTATTTTTCTACCTCATGTATAAACTGTATTTAGTGCACAATCATTCAAGACTGCAAAGCCTCATGCACTGCACACATTAAACACAACCAGATATTTACTAGGCTATGTCTGCCACTCTGAACAACAGTGCCCCAGAATTAAGCTTAGAATCAATGCTCTATTGATTTTACTATCAATGAACATTATAGCTCACATGACTAGCCATTTTAAGGGAAGATAGCATCTATTATTATAGTTCACTTTTCAGAATATATGCTGTTAAAAGATAAATCACTGCTTCCCTGATGAAACACCAAAAAAGACAAATACATTTCTTAAAATACATAGACACTAATTTCCTAAGTTATTTAAGGAAAAACATTGTGCTGACAACACAAGATTTAAAACATCACTTTATTATATTTTGTTAATATTTAAGCACATAACACTATCAAAATGCTGTGTAACTGAGATTGATAAATGTGATTGACCACAAAATATATAACTATATTCTTAACTAACTATGCATTAAACTGTTTTTAATGATGTGCTAAATCCAGATCAAGAATATATGAATGTATTAATGTGTTATAAGATACTTATAAGTAAATCTCTATGATGAAAATTTCACCAATGAAACAAATCCTCTGCAAACATAATGATTTTTTTTTTAGAAATTAAAATATTAACTGATCAATTGCACACATCTAACATATGGTCTAATTTATGTTTATTTCATTTGATTTTCTTAAGATGTACACAATAAACATAAAACAATGGTTGTGTAATTATTAATGAGTTCCTATTGGAATCTGCAGTTCATCAAACATATGTGGCCTAATATAAATACTGGAAAAAGTGAACTTTAAAAATTCTGAATTACCAGCATAACCATTTATATAAATTTAAAATGTTAGCATAATTTAAAATATAAAATAGCAATGAAATACATAAAATATAAATTTGTGTATTGTGAAATAAATAATTCTACCACTTGCCTAAATTATGAATTTTCTATCATACAAAGCTTCTCAAATGACAACACAAAATGCAGTTAGATGGCATTCCAAACCTTCCAGTAAAAATCACTTGTACAAAGATCTTAAACAGGAAACAAGACTAAATCAATTGATCTCACATTTCTTTAAAATATACATATATGTAAAAAACTGGGACATAGCACTTCATATACCATATATAATAGATGTCTCATATCTCCAAATTAGGGAAGATGAAGAGGCAAGATTTCCTATTCTTACTTTAATGTTTATTATGATTTGGACAATTTGCAATCATATTACAATAACTTGGTAATGGATTTATAAGTTTTTGGCAAATCAAGGCTGATAAAATACTTTCAGCTATATTTATAAATACAACACTTTAGTAAACTAAAAAAATACAAGTTTACAAATATAGTAACACGTACAACAAAACACAAAAAAATCAGATTAGCAAAAGAATACTGGTCAAAATTTATCACAGATTTTAAGCAAAAGTAAATGGTTGATATTATGAAAGCACAATCCAGTATAAATATGTAATGACTGGTACTCAGGACTTTTAAAGTCAGGGCATTTGTACCAAAATTTATGTTGGAACATGTTTTCTTTTATTTGTTTTGTGAGACAGGGTATCACTGCATAGTTCAGACTGGCCTTAAACTCACGGCGATTCTCCTTCCTCAGTCTCCCTAGTGCTGGGATTACAGGAATGCTGTTGGAGCATATTTGGACCACTGTTCTGTTAACTAAGCAAGCTAGCTGAGGAGTTTAGCAAAGACTGCTAGGCTAGGTTTTCTTATACTAAGCAGGAAAACCTGTTAGTTCAAGCTATAATCAGTGTCTCTGGTGGAAGGGGAAGGGCGGTGTTAAAAGTTTATTCACAGCTGCACTCCTTGGAATCTACCTAAGAGAAATAAAAACACATGTTCACACAAAGACATATGTACATGTTTATAGCAGCACTGCTCATCATCACCAGAAAGTATAAGCAACCCGCTGCTCCATCTATCCGTGAATAAACAAGTGGTAGAGCCACAAAATGGAATGCTATTTAGCAATAAAAAAGAATGGACCACTGCAATAGGCTACAGTATGAATGAACCTGAAAAACAATATGAAAACCACACACCGCATAATTCTATTTATATAAAATGTGCAGAAAAGACAAATTTATAGGTGCATAAAGTAGATAAGTGCCTAGGGCAAGGATCAGAGAAGGGATTTCCTACAAATGGCCTTGAGGGAATTTTTTGAATTGATGGAAATGTTCAAAAGACTGGATTGTGGTGATGCTTTGCATAACTCTGTATATTTACTAAAAATCACTGAATTGTACACTTAATAGTTTACTTATATGGTATGCCATTTACATCTGAATAAGGCTGTTACAAAAGAAAATAAAACATTTTCTGAAAGAAAAGTTATGAAGAAAAAAGAAAAGAACCAAAAGGTTATCCAGTTTGTTAATTTTATGTATTGCTATTCTCTTTTCTAACAAAATGAGAGCAATGTATCTGATTTCAGTGAATGAATAACTATACGTAAGGGAAATAAATACAAAACATGTCTATGCCAATTTTCCAAAGTGCAAATTCCTGGAAGGTTACACTTGTAAAAGCACTTATTCAATGAATACTTATGACAAATACTTATGATACAATACCAAAAAGCATTTTTAATAAACATACAGGATGACATTCTTTTAGAAGATAAAGCAGACTGTGCTTCTTAAAAGGAATTAGGGATCCTAGGTAACTGTCTGCAGAGATGCCTTTCTCCAATAGATTTAAATACACACTCACAGGTCACCTGGCCTCAGGCACAGCTTTGGAGGAGTGATTCTCAGCTTGATTAGTTAAGACTTTTGCCTCAAGGAAAACCAGTTACCAAAGAGTTACTTGTGCCTCAAGGGGTATAAATACTACAGCTGTTTGGGTAACTGTCAGATCCATTTTTTCTACCAACATGCTAAGATAAATGCAGAGGAACTAATCATACAGAGACAGTATTAGATGAGTCTGTTAATTAAAAAATAATTTATACATAGGAAGTGATTTGCTTTAAAAAGATCAAAATAATTCAGTAAGTGAAACAAATCATGACAAAGTTTACTGACTTCTAAGATATCAATTAATAAAAAGACAATCTGATGGCAAAGATGTTGGAAGACTAAATAAGGCTATCTTTACAGACACATTCTTGTGTGAAACAAAACTAGGGGTTCACTGAAAGAAAGCAACCAGAAAATATGTACAGAATGACCAAAACTTCTTTCAACACATTTCGAGGACTCTCTCAATATTATAGATTAGCTCAAACCAGAGGAATGTCTGCTATGATACCTGGACCAATGCCAGCCCTTGTTATAAAGCAAAAATACTTCAAGAAAATATCTTGAACCCTTGCTTTACAATTTGACAAACTGGGGTATTCAAATTAAACAGATGAGAATCAAGAGTTGTAGCTAACATTTTAAGATACAGAATAGTTCCAGACAATACAGTTGAAGAAAGATTCAGAATGCCATACATAACATTCTGTCTCTAAGATGCATTTGCCCCATAGACAAACACAGACTGATTTAGGCTTAAATCTCAAATACAAGGTTTTTTGTTTGTTTGTTTTATGTGTTTTTTTACTGTACATCAACAGTTTCAAAATTAAGATTGTGGCCACTGGTTTCTTGGGGACCACAACCCACACTGTTAAGGGAGGAAAAAAAAAATAACTAGATAGAATCCAGACTAGAACAAGCAGTCTGTTTCACGTGCAATACGCATTTTGTGAAACTTTCCCAGTTTGAGTAAAAATGTATTTCTTCTTACTGTGGGTCTGACTTAAAGAACTCTGAAGCCCCTATAACTGTATCTGTATTCCACACATTCTGCTGGAGTTAGGGCCTCTCCACAATCTTCTCTTCAGCCACTGGCTCTGTGAACTACTCACAAACGGACACGACCATCCTTCTGAAAGGCACACGGAGTATGGAAGTGGGGGCTGCCTCCACCCTGAGCGTGAACCCTAAATACAGAATCACTGTAGCAGAGTGAAGGAGGGGAAGGAGGCCAAAGAAATCAGGAAGAGGTGACTATTTCCCTTCCTCTCTTCTACAGGTTTAGCTGTTTTCTCACAAATTGGGTTATTTTGAGAATGAGGAAATAATAAGAAAGTATACTAACTTGCCCATCGCTAACATGCTAATTTTAAGAAACGGGGGCGGGGAGGCCACCAGGCCCACATAGGAGCTGTTACTGACATAGTGAAAAGAATGGACATTTGTTTGAAGTCAAGTGGTATTTGTATTTCCCAGGGCATAAATAGCCATGGTAAAAATTTTATCTAATGGAGCAGAACTTACTAACGTTATGACTCATGATCCTAAAGTCTGTAAGTTCTGAATCAACCTGTGAATATTTTCAATAGAAATTAATGCTGCTGTAAACATATATTTGTAAAACATTACATTTCTTGGCAGGAACAAAAATACTAACTTATAAGGAATAAAGTGTTTAATGAGACTTAATTTTTTTCTTTTGAAAGCTGTGGCACGAAACTATAACACTGGAATTCAAAAGTACAAATGAACACTCACCTCTGCCTTCGTTCATCATCCTTTAAAACTTCATATATGGCCACCAACTAAAACAGAAGCATTACTTTAAAATAAACATACTCTCAACTGTAAGAAATCACGCAGGAGGGTGAAAGCTCTATAATACACATGCAGAAAACTCTATGTGCCTATAAATGTAATAAACCGAGAAAAATCTTAGCTATAAGTAATATTTTATGTTTTTGGTAGCATGGGAAGAGGTTTAAAAAAGCTTGATACCAAAACAAGACTTTGTGAAAGATGTAAAAGTAATAATTTATCTTAAAATATGCTTTTTAAAAGCAAAAGCTATAATTTAGATAAGAAAATTATGACAATCATGCCCCTCCAAGAATTTCAAGGTTCTAATAATATAAAATGCTGGTAAAAATTTATTGCATTTTAAAAAATTGAATAAAACTATGTATATTTGTAGACCATATTTTCATTTTCAAATGGAACTGTTCCACATGTAAGTTAATATTTCTGCCATAAACATTTTATTAATATAATCGTCACAAAAATATATATAATAGCACACTTCACTTACTTGTCTAAACTGAGTTTCTGCATTTTCATCTTTATTCTTGTCTGGATGTAAAGTTAGTGAAAGCTTACGATATGCTTTTCTGATGTCTGCAGATGAAGCATCCTGGAGGTGGGAGGGGGAGGGGGAAAAATACAAAGCAAACTTTGTCAGAAAAAGAAATTCCCAGAACCTTGTTAAGATCTGAGAAGACAGCCAACCAAGTGCAGGACCCCAGGCAATGTAATTTGAGCAATCCATCTAACAACCAGGCTATGCAGCTAGCTTGACCCACATGACTGAACAATTATTCAATCTAATTTGGCTCTCCTCAACTTTTCATTACCATACAGTCATTTAAAGAGGACAGTATTTGGCAAAACTTTTCAAACACTTGCCTTCCTAAAATTAACCAATAAATCTTTTTCAGTAACTAAGAGATCAAAAAGAAACAAATTAAAAATTAATACATCTGTGTGCCTTCAAAGAAGGTCTTTATTTATTTGAGAATCTTAAAGCCAATTTCTGAATCCCAGGCTTACCATATGTAGTTTCTTCACTGTTATTTATATTGAATTTACCATCCGGCAACAGCCTACAGAATCTCAGTTTCATATGTGAAAAAAGTATGCCTATTTGAAGGCAATTACATTTCCATTTACCCAAAAATAATTATAATTAGAAAATAGTGATATACTGTACTTAGGGTTTTTTTTTTTCCCTGCTTTACAGGGTGTTTGTAATGTTTTTCCAGTCTGGTTTACAGGCTAAATTTTGCCCTTTTTCATGTATTATTAATACACATAGTTTAAATATACAGTATTTAAGAAGTCATTGAGGTTCAGTATTTCAGACTAAAAATCATATTTTATGGTTTTAAACCATGTGCACAGGTAATATCAAAGAGCTCCACTCTACACATAAAAAAGCACAACAATAGGAAGGAATATGCTGTCAAATAGAGATTTAATATTTTTATCCCCACTAAGTTTAAAAAATATTCCAGTAACATATTCAAGGCAAAATAATAGCAAAACTGCTGATTAAATTCTGTCCCTTGTTTGATAGCTGTCTGATTAATTTCTAAAACTACTTACTAAAAATGACTAAATACCAAACCAACACAAAATTCTACACAGGGCTAAACAGTTACTAAATAAATAGGAGTTACACAAAGATAAAATGAGACTATAACTAGTCTGTCAAACTTTCCTTGGTAAGCCATAATTTGCCTTACCAGTTTCTAGGGCTTGTTGCTTCAGGCTAGTATGCTACCCTAGGTGTGGATATTTTTGTGACTTATGTGGGGCTGAGGAGCTATAAAATTAGCAGAGTACATTTGGCAGGGTAATACAGTTGTGTTTATTTCACTCTAATTTGCTTAATAAAACTGATGTGTCTTCTATATTAGACCGTAGGTAACATGCAGTAGAAAGGGATGATTACTTACTGGAAAAGTGTGATGTACCTTTTTGTTGAGCAAAGAGGTCATGTGTCAAATGAAGAACCATTCTCTAATTGGGGTCTTAATTTTAGATTTCATTAAAATTGGGACTATATCATAGAGAAAAATTATTCCAAAAGTAGATTTCTTACAAAATATTTTTATATACCTTTTTTTTTTTAATACAAGTTAATACATGTCATTATCCAACATCTATGACCTAAGAAAGAAAATGGCTAATAGTCATCAAGGCACTTCTTTGCCTCCAGTCTTGCCAGGCTAACCAAAATAATTTTTTTTTTTGCCATGGTTTGTAGCCCAAACATAAATGGACAAATGGCTCTCCTGTTGCAAACCCCTGAGTAGCTTCCTTTTTTTTTTAATACAAGTTAATACATGTCATTATCCAACATCTATGACCTAAGAAAGAAAATGGCTAATAGTCATCAAGGCACTTCTTTGCCTCCAGTCTTGCCAGGCTAACCAAAATAATTTTTTTTTTTGCCATGGTTTGTAGCCCAAACATAAATGGACAAATGGCTCTCCTGTTGCAAACCCCTGAGTAGCTTCCATGTGCCTCCATCAGCGATTTTCCCATCTTTTCTCCTTATCTCCTACTACATTTGCCCATTATTACTTTTCAGAATGCAGTTCACATACACATAGCCACCCTGTCCCCAACTTGGGCTGCCACGAACACTGCCTATTTTCCTCTTGAGAATCTACTCTGCTAAGTTATTTCACCAACAGATACTATCCTCAGTAGATATATCTGAAAAGCTTGTAGATTTTTTTTTCTATCTAAAAAGACATGCTCTAGACAAGCTGTATCTTAAACATACACATTTACTTAATTTTAGGTACTTAGTGAAAATCTTAACTGATTTTATCCAAATAACAAACCTATGACATAAGTACAATTAGACCCATTTTACTGATTAGGTAAGTGAAGCAGAGAAAGGTAATTTGTTCAAATTCATACTGCTTTGCACATAGGTAAAACAGAATTTAAATAAAAATTGTTGCTTCAGGAACAGATCCTGGCTATTTAGCTTCATAGTTCAACCGAGTAACTTGACAAATGGGAATGGAGTGAGAGTAACTATTATATTCTTATTGATCTGATCAACTACAGGGAAATAGTCATATAACTACAATGCAAATACACCCAACTAAACTTATGTTTCTTTCTTTTGGTTTTTGTGCATTTTAGTTATCGAGTTGTCCTAAAAATCCTGGGCTCAAGCAATTGTCCTGCTTCAGCTGCCTGGGTAGCTGGGTTTACACGTACATGATCCTTGCACCTTGCTCCTAACTTAAGTTGTAAAACTTCTCTAATACCTTTTATATTACATTTTTAGTATAGATTTGAATTCTAGGCTATTCATCTCCCATATTCAGCAGAATATACCTTTCATCTCTTTGGCTTGCAAAAGAGTGTTTTGATAGAGCTGTGGGTGAGCTGGCCCTCTAACACTGTTGGTATCGGGAGAGCTACTGGATTAATTTGCCAGGATTCTTTTCCTTCTAAAGTGATACAGTTCTTTGGCAAGCTAAATATGAATTACCTTAACACTTGAATAACCTCTGTAAAAAAAAAGACATATTGTCACTCTTTAAAAAAGTGAAAGTAATATATGCTAGTCAAGATTCTACAATGTGATGAAAGAGAGAAGAAAATGGCAGGATAGAAAACTCTAAGGACCCGACCCTACACAGAAATAGTGAATAACCTAGCAAAAACTGCCACAATCAACTTTTACCTGAACTCTGAACATCAAAGTTTACAGTAATCAGGGAAGCATTTTATAATCACCACTGAGATGATTCTCAGTAGGGTCTTGAAGTCTACAACCTAAGTTTTCGGTGTGGCTTTCTGGTGCCAGAGCGGGCAGGACTCTGTCCTCAACTGTAGCTGTTTGTTTTGATTTGTTGGCAAACTGATAAGATTACATAAAAGCCTTGCCTTCGTTCTGCCAAACTCAGAGCTGGGATAGAGTGCATTTGTTAAAAACGTTTCCAGGCATATTTATTAAATGGTGCTAAACTGGGCAAGGGATAATTGTTGGGGCAAAGAATGGATAAATCATAAAGCTTGGGAAGAAGGACTGGGGAGTAAGATACTTTGGGAAATAAGGGCATTGAAAGGCTCCCTTGTATTTCTGAAGCCAGAAGATCATGTGTGTGCCCAGAGAGACTGGAGAATATGCTCAGAAAGCCCTAAGTTTCCAACACTGGTTGATCGTCAAGCTTTGCTCAAGCAGGAAATGAAGGCCACGAAAGAACTGTAAACTATCCAGGAGAATACTGAAGGAAGGCTTCAACATCCATGCAGAGCCCACTGGTGAAGACTGGAAAGATGTATGTTTATACTGAGATAGATCCCCAGACACATAACCCTGGTTCCTGACCACCAAACTAAGCAAACATATTCCAGTGGCCACACACAGCAAAGATTAGATACTTATAAAATTAGTTCAGAAAGGTCATTAGATAAACAGCATGAACCACAACAAGCAGTAAAAAAAAAAACCCAAAACAAAAAAACAAAAACTCTGAGGGGATAGGAGAATCTAAGTGCCACATTATATACTTAAAATGTCTAGAACCCCATCCCCCAGGCATAATGAGGCAGGCAAAGAAACCAGAAAGTTTAGTCCAAACAGAAAAAAATGAAAATTAATAGTAATCATCTGTGACAAAGTCCAGATATTAGAACTACTAGACAAAGACTTTATTTTAAATATGCTAAAAGAGCACATGCAAAAAACTAAAGTATAAGAATGATGGTTCATCAAATTGAGATTATCAACAAAAAAGACAAAATTGGAAAAGGAAGCGTACAGAATGGTTGCACTTGAAAAGTATAATAACTTAAATCAAAATTTCAGTATGTGAGGCCCAATTGCAGATTTGAACAGCCAGAAGAATGAATCTATGGACATAAAGATATGCCAGTTGAGATCACTTGTTGTGGGGACTAGAAAGAAGAATGAAGAAAAAACACAGCGCCAAGAGACAGGGTGTACTATCAAGAACACCAACAAACACATAGGCAAAAAAAATATTTGAAGAAAAGCGGCTAAAAAGTTCAAAATATTTTGAAAGACATGAATCTACACAGCTAAGAATCTCAATAAACTCTAAAGTAAAACCAGAGACCCTCCTAGAAAAATTATCATCAAACTGTAGAAAGTCTTTTTTTTTAAATTCATTAAGTTTATTGCAATGCAATGACATTCATCATTGGGAATTTGTACTTTACATGATATATCTTGATTCTTATTTTTTCCCCATTCCCCTGCCCTCCCTTCAACCCCTCCATCCCTCCCTATTTATAAAGACTTTGTTTCCATGTTTTCCTTTTCTCATATTTTTTCATTTCCATTCTTTCCTTTCCCCAACCCCTCCCATTTCCCCTTTGGACCTTTTTTCCCCCTATTTCACATTATCTATTATATATTTTGATCCTTATTTACACTTTGTTTCTCACTCAAAAAATTATTTGATATTTACAGACGTATCCTATTTATATCACTTAAGAGTATGTCCTCAATATACACCCATTTAGCTATAAATGACTCTAGTTTCTCATTCTTTATAGCTGAGTAGTACTCCACTTTATATTTAAAAAAACCACCACATCTTCTTTATCCGGTCTTCAGGTGATGGGCAATTGGGC